CTCTCTGACATCATTCAGTGATACGTCTCTGACATCATTCAGTGAGACGTTGGCTCTCTGACATCATTCAGTGACACGTCTCTGACATCATTCAGTGATACATCTCTGACATCATTCAGTGACACGTCTCTGACATCATTCAGTGAGACGTTGGCTCTCTGACATCATTCAGTGACACGTCTCTGACATCATTCAGTGACACGTCTCTGACATCATTCAGTGATACGTCTCTGACATCATTCAGTGAGACGTTGCCTCTCTGACATCATTCAGTGAGACGTTGCCTCTCTGACATCATTCAGTGAGACGTCTCTCTGACATCATTCAGTGAGACGTCTCTCTGACATCACAGTGACACGTCTCTGACATCACAGTGACACATCTCTCTGACATCAGTGACACGTCTCTGACATCACAGTGACATGTCTCTGACATCACAGTGACACATCTCTGACATCACAGTGACACGTCTCTGACATCAGTGACATGTCTCTGACATCACAGTGACACGTCTCTCTGACATTCAGAGACATGTCTGACATCACTCAGTGACACGTCTCTGACATCACAGTGACACGTCTCTGACATCACAGCGACACGTCTCTCTGACATCACAGTGACACATCTCTCTGACATCACAGTGACACGTCTCTGACATCACAGTTTAGTTTATTTAGTTTATCAAGGGACAGTGTGCAATAGCATTAATCATTTACAAGAGATGAGGAGATGGTTGCACCAGATTTAGCAATAACTGCTAATTTCCATCTGTAGTCCCAACATATAATTTATAATATACACAGACCACAATTTAAAAAACAAAGAAACCTAAAATACAGATGAACAGAGGACAGCACAGAGACAATACAGACATTGTAGCTGCCATCAGAGGCAGTTATACAGTTTAAGTTCATTTAATATTTTTTGAGATAAAAACAAGAATAATTTACGTTTTAGAATACAGATATACAATTTCCACATTTAAAATAACCAAGTTGTTGCAGTGCAGGGAGGAACAACTTACAAAACACTAAAAGGCAGTCCAAGCAGCAGCTCCTGATATAAAGTGCAAGGCAGGAATGTGCATAGATAAAGTGCTGGTGTTGTTGTTGGTAGTCGAAAAAGTGCTCGTAGCAGCAAAAAAAATTACAGAGTTGTAGGGATGTCCCGATCTGATATTCAGATCGGTATCGGCCGCCGATACTAGCAAAAAACGGGCATCGGCATTGGATCGGACTGCATGGAAAAATGCCCATCCAAGAACTTCGATCCAGTTTTTCACGGAATCCGCTCCAGGTTTTCCGGCCAGCCCAGCTCCGCGAGTCAAGCAGTCCATTCCAGTGATCCGCTCCAGCTCTTACTATCAATCCACGAGGCCAGCATGCAGACGGCAGACACACACACGGAGGATAGGAGGAGTAGCTGTCAACTTAGTTAACTAACTATTTGTTTTCTGCTCTGGTGTTTTAAGAGTGATATTTTTATTTGGTTTACACTCTTACTAGTAAGTCTTACTACTCTTACTTAAGTAAAGAGCACTGATGGCATTGTTTTGGGCACAATTAGTGAAACTGGAGCCATGGATGGACTACAAAAACACTACTAAAATAACTGAAAAGGAAAGGCTGCATTGTTTGTTAAATGTCAACAATGTTTTGAGGTGTTAATCTATGTTTTATTTATTAGGGGGGCAAAGCACAAGTGTGTGGAGTTTTGCTGCTATTTTAATTTCAATGTTAGACATTTTAAAGATTTCTTGTGTTGATTTATTTTCTATTTAAGGGGCCAAAGCAGCCAAAGCAAACCAGCTATATTTTTTATTTAATGTTAATGTTCAAGTTTAAAGTTTGTTTATTTAACCCTGTTAACAATAAATAGGTCGGTTTCTCATATCAACTGTTGTGGATCATTCTAACTAACCTGATTAAGTAGTTGTTCTTGTTAGAGTAATATCGCTTGATCAGACCTTTTCTTTTTTAGAATATTTTATTTTTTAGCTTTCAATTCAATAAGATATACATGAAAACACAAACACACAACTCCAAACCCCTTCCCCAACCCACCCACAGACTGAAAGAGAGAGAGGAGGAGAAAAAATAAATAAATAAAATTAATAAATAATGAAAATAATATTAATAATGACTAAAAAATAAATAAATAAATAAAAAATACAACGGTCGAGAGGCAAGGAAGACAACAGTAAGCACTGACAACAAAGAGCTTGCAAAAACTACAACCCGTCCACCATAGAATCTGGCAATGTGTCCATATATGCTAAATAAGGCTGCCACATCTCTGTAAAAGTATTATAGTCATTCCTGAGTGTATATGTAATTTTTTCAAGTGGAGCACAGCTATTCATTTCTGAAACCCATCTTCCTATAGAAAGTTGGGAGTCAGACTTCCACTTGATGGCGATGCACTTCCTGGCAACGCACAAGGCCAGTGAGAGGAACCTCTTTTGAGCTTTTCTTAATCGTGCATCAATATTTGTAGTATCTCCCAATAAGCAGGTTTGAGGATCTAATGGGAGATGCAGTCCTAGGAGTTTTGTAATGATGTCAGAAAATCATGCCAGAATGTGTTAAGTTTTGTGCATAACCAAGTGCAGTGTAGGAATGAACCCTCTTCTATACTACATCTAAAACACAGGTTGGATATCTCAGGTTTATATTTATGTAATTTCTGTGGTGTAAGATAGGTTTGATGAAGAAAGTTATAATAAGTCAGCCTGTATCTGGAATTAAGAGTGGCAGTTAGACTTTTTTGACACAATTCAGCCCAGAGCTCTGTACCCATTGTCACACCCAAGTCAGACTCCCATTTCTCCCTTGATTTATGTAAACCTGATTTTGGTCTGGGCAATCCAGGAGGTGAAGGCAGACACTCGGGCATAGACTCCAGGTCTCTGAGGACATCCACAGCCATAACCAAATGATGTCACACCTATCAGTGACACGTCTCTGACATCATTCAGTGACACGTCTCTGACATTATTCAGTGACACGTCTCTGACATCACAGTAACGTCTCTCTGACATCAGTGACACGTCTCTGACATCACAGTGACACGTCTCTGACATCATTCAGTGACACGTCTCTCTGACATCATTCAGTGACACGTCTCTGACATCACAGTGACACGTCTCTGACATCATTCAGTGACACGTCTCTCTGACATCATTCAGTGACACGTCTCTGACATCATTCAGTGACACGTCTCTCTGACATCATTCAGTGACACGTCTCTCTGAGGTCCACAGAGAGAAGAGTCGTGGTGTTTGTGTGTCTCACTGCCTGTTGACAGGAGCTGCTCTCAGATCAGTCAGCTCTCTGTGTTAAAAATCACTGTCTAATATTAGCAGCTTATTCATTTTATTAATTATCACAAATATTAACAGGTTATTTATATTCACTGAGCAGCTGATGGTAAAATCACCTCCTCTACATAACCTCAGTCTGATTGAAGCTTCACTTCATTTCATGTTACACAAGGAGCTGAGGTGACTCAGTGTTCAACAGGAAACAGGTACACACTGATGTTTCCTCCTCTTGTGATAAACCACAGTAATTTTACTTGTTGTTGTGAAAAACCTTCACGTGTGTTTCAGCTCTTCGTGTTTCCAGCTGTTCGTTAAATCAGCAGATTTTTAAAGGAACTTCTGAACAGTTTGAAGCCTGTGAGACGGAGCTAACAGCTAACCGCTAACAAACTGCTAACAGACAGCTAACTGCTAACAAACTGCTAACTGCTAACAGACAACTGTCTTGGTGGTGTCAACCGTCTGCTACGTCACAGATCGGTGTGATGTCATCGGTGTTACGGTTCACAGGAGAACTGAATCATAAGAACATTAAAAACAGCTGATTTATTTCCTACCTGCTAACATCGGTTAGCCTGCCGAGGACTCCCGATCATATCACTTCCGGGACGATGGCGCGCTTCTTCTTCTTGTTCCGGTAGATTTGAATGTGTTCCGGCTCATTCCCGCCTCCTGCTGGATCAAATCTGACGTGTGACATTTAATCTTTATAAAAACACAATAGTTTAAATTAATGAAAACAACACAATATATGTCAATTCATGACGTAATATATTTACTAATAAACTTTATTTAATTTAGTGAGTGACAACAACAGAGGTCATGATGATAAACAGGAAGATGAAGACTGAAAATACTTCTTGTAAATAATCAAACAACAAACACTGTGTGCTTTATGTAAGGGATAACGCGCGTCAGGGTTCTATTCCCCTGAAGGGAGTTGTTTTCCCAGTATTCACCGGCTCATTATACATTATCCCGCTTATTACACGGCTAATTATCAGTTAAATAAATAATTTGAGACAGAATATTGATTAATTATACGATTTTTATTGATTTATAAATTAAATCATCAGGAGGAGGAGGAGCGTCTGGTCTGGGCGATCCAGGAGGTGAAGGCAGACACTCGGGCGTAGACTCCAGGTCTCTGAGGACGTCCACAGCCATAACCAAATGATGTCACACCTATCAGGGACCAATCAGAACACAGCATCAGCATCGTACTGTACGTGTGTGTGTGTGTGTGTGTGTGTGTG